CCCCAAAACCCCAAAACCCCAAAACCCCAAAACCCCTTTTATAATCCTTGAGTTGAAAAATTGGTTAGCACATTTGAAATAATCATTTTTTGCCTTATATTTTTGAAAACTCTAATTCAACCTCAAAAATAATAGATCACTAAACATGTTATGAAAGAGCAAAAAAAATTGGTTAAAACGGCACTCATTATTGGATTAATTATTGAACAATTCATTTACGATTTTTAGATGACCCTTTGCTTTCTGAAGTGTTAACAATTGATATATTTTCTTTGATAGTCTCTTCAATATTAAGTCCGTTTATCAATAAATTTACCAAATCTGTTCTTAGTAGGGTTTTCAATTTCTTTGTGAAAAGTATGGGAGATTTTGGAACTCTGACCTCATCTAATGAATTCTTGAGTCCTCATGAACAAATTAAGGTGACTATTTTTTCGAAGTCAAATTCTTCTTGGTCTCCTAATGTTTTACATCTATAAAAATATAGTTTCCCTAGTTTAAACATAACTCGAGATGGAATACTCTTCGTATCTATTTCAATTGTTGAAGATTCTAATTCAACTTGAGAAGCATTTGAGGCCACAAGCAACAGCTTGTTAAATTCTTTGCCAGTGAAACTGAAACCTCGCAAGAAGATTAGTTTTAAAATGCTAGGATTTAGCATATATATCTTCTGAAGATAATTTGAAGAGGGTATATATTGTCCATTTTGTGATGAATGTGTAAGAATTAGATGAAACACCCATTGAGATTTAAATCCATCAAGAATTTTACTCCTCTTCCTACTCTTCGAAAGATCTCCAGTTATTTCTAACTGAGTAATATCAGGTCTGATTGCTCTAAGCTTCCATAATGGGTACTTTTTATCTCCTTCATCTGGTTGGTCATTCAGATCAATCTTGAAGGCGACCGGCTGTTTCTTTATTTTAACTATCAAGTACTGCTTTATATTATAGAACGCTATTTTATGTTAAGGAATACTGAACTTACAGTCACAGTCCATGAACAACTGGTAGTCTGTACCTTTCTCCTCTTCCACCCCCTTCATCTCCTCCAAACATGTCCTAACCATCTTCATATTTCCTAAATTAATTATACTTCTCTTCCCATAAATTCTTTTCCTGGGGTTTTGGGGTTTTGGGGTTTTGGGGTTTTGGGG